AATCAAGTTTGTTTCAGTAAATCACCTACAGAACACCCGAGTCTGTTCAAACCAGAATGAAGACATTTCTGAATATTTCTGAAATATATATTTGTCTGAATATCACGTATCTTAACAGTAAATAAAGCCGAGGATTCGCTCATCTTAGCTCATCAGTAGATTTGTTTGCAATAACAACCATGTGGTGTCGCTAACAAGGCCTATATAATCCCACAGCTGATGATGATGAATCCTATATAAAACTTTAACAACGGTGTCTCCTCGCCTTCCATAAATGCGCAGTTCATATGAAGTTAAGTAAACCCTTCCTCCTGGCATGTTGCCCCCTTTTAAAACACTATTACATATGTCAGATTAGAGGAAGTGTGAGGTGGAGTTTACGCTTAGGGACCCACATCGCAGCTGGTGGGTTGTTCCCTGGAGAAGCAGCTCAGTCCAAACGTGTCCCAACAAGCTGTAGATTAATAGGGTGGCGTAAGGCCAAGGCATGTTAATTTATCTGTCGAGGCTAAACGCACCTCTGTTGGAAAGTGATTTTTACACAGTCGGCAGGGCGCCGGGGTGTCCGTTCTGTCAAGGGGAATGTGGATGACTCTTGGGCCAAATAAATCTTAGCAACAAGGTCCTGCACAACTGAACTTGATCTTTGTAAATGCATCTGCATGTCGTAGACCTTTAGCAAAGGTGTAGATGTTAGAGTAGGAAGCCCCCCATACATGCCAGGCTCTGGGCCTCCTTTGTCCGTCTTCTCTTTGTGAGCACTAAATGTTACTGTCATTTTCGAAGTAGCAGCAGAAGATTGGGAGAATTAAGAAGTATTATTGTCAGTGATGTGATGAAATTACACATTTCCTTTAAAATCATCAGCAACCTCTCTACACTCGTGCCTCGGGAATCTTGTCTGGTATTGTACATTAGAAACTCAGAAGTTGTGTAACAGCCCCCGTTCGTGCACAGGCGTCATTCACTAGTAACATTAACAGTAGCTCACTTCTACTCAAGCGTCCCAGTAAGCCATGACACTGTGACTGTTAGCTCGCTGCATGATACCAGGACCAGGAAGATGGAACAGCTTAATGGAATTCAGCCATTATTTATTTTATTATTTACTCAGGTCAAACTCTCTTCCATTAAAAAAATCACCATCAGTCACATATTCAAACAGTTTGGACCAAGCTTCAAACCTCCAATCCAATTGGTCTCTTCCTCTCTCAGATCTTTTGGACTTCGCTTCATTAAGCCAAAGGTAATTTTAAAAATTCAGTTTGTAAATTTCACTGCAGGTTCATTTTCATGCATGAATATTCATGATTTGAATACATCAAAAAACGTGCATGTGGGCTGAACTTTTCCCTTGTTACCAGTCAGTGGGTGATGGCTTTCGCATCTCTTCTCCTCAGTGTTATATTTTGAGTACTGGGAATGATATGCACAGGCTAATTAATCTTGTTGAGTTACACTAATTGGAAAAGTAGTGGCAGATATCTGAATATGGGACAGATATGACACAACGTTCCCCATCAGAGACACTACGTGAGGCAGGTGGCTGGCAGACATCTCCTCTGTAACTTCCATACCTTTACCAGATTTTGGTAAGGGCAACAGTAATACCCTGGCACCCTTTGGACACTGTGTACTCCGACTTTGTGTACATTTTGGAGGCCATTTTGTCCATCTCACACTGGTGTAAAATGGCTGCCGTTTGCTGAGATGCCCTTCACTTACCTTGCTATTCTTCACTTTTGCACTGCTAAAGTTCTCATATTGGTACATGATGCCTTTTGGTTATACCGTAGACTTCAGGATTCAGTTACATACATAATTTATTTCTGAATAATAGCCCCCAGTATTAGAGAATATTACAATATTTGGTAATCATTAATAAGTAATGCTTTCACACTTTCTCTGCTCATTGTTTGACAAGAATTTTAAATTTATGGAAAATTCTTTCATGTAATATCAAATAATTATTGAGCAAGTGTGATAAGTCAAATTGATGTTTTTACACTCACGCTGCCACGGCTGGGTTAACATTAAAATGTATGTATCCAAGTAGTGCATTAACAGGGTCACGTTCACAGTTAAGTCTTTTAATTTCAGATTTCCTCTCTGGCTGATTTTCACATTTCTGTTTCTCGTTTAGAGGAAAAAACAGCCGCCGTGGTTCTCATGTACTGTTGTCTCTTGATCACCTCTTACAGCGAACACCGTGTCTGAGTGAATGTTTGAGATCATGTTAACTTGGGTGTCCAGGAAAATGGGAGTAACCCGGACAGATGAATTGAAATTTTAATGATGAGCAGCACCACCACGCTGATGGCCATGGAACACCTCAGACAGCTTAAATATCACCGCTAATTAACACAGAGAGGTGGGCTGTCACAGGCATGATGGATGTTCGGGTGGGGGTGAGGGGTGGGGGTACAGATCGCTGCTTTCAACCAACCAGTGATTCCTTTATTAATCAAAGCCTGAGATGAAAAGGCTCTCCCACACCTCGGGGAGAGGGAGATAGCAGGAGCTATTGTTGGGAGGGTTTCAATCATTTGCCGTAAGCCTGTGATGTATTTGATCAGGGGGCATCCAAACATTTGTAGGAGACAAAATGTTTCTGCTGCTGAAGCACTTGTTTTTGTAAACCTCTGAACCACCCATATGTTGACAGAGCCACAGTACGCACAGTCAGCTGAGATTTACTGGTTCTTGGGGAAATTTCTGTTTGGAGGACCTATTCTTTTCATCCCTCTGACAGGAGAGGTGAGCATGTAGAGAGTTGGCTATCAGTCTCAAGAGTGCTCTCCTCCATGATAGAGTGAGCCAGACTGAGCACAAGGCAGCACTCCTACACTTTACCTCTGGACCGACTCCATGATCAGTCTGTCTCACAGAGATGATTTCGAACCTAGATGATTTCAGCACTTTGTGTATGAAGATGGAGTGTTATCTCCCCCTCTCTGATCTCCTCCCCATCTACCTCACTTAAGGAGGTCCATTGTTAAGTGCCATGGGCCTGTGGGTGCTGTAAATCAGGCTGCAGAGGGAGGGGATGTCTCCCATGGGAGGAAACGCACACTCCCAGCAGCCTTCAGGCTGATCTCATCCTGCCTATCCTAATGCTTTAATTAAAGAACTGGTCAATAGCAAAGAGGAAGGTGCTAAAGGGTATGATCTGTACCTCCAAACGTACAACTGATGTGGCAATACCCTCGCAGGCAGGATGACGGGGCAGTGTACTTGAAGAAATTCTTTCCTCCTGCTTGAAGAATGCGGATATTAACTATTACCACACACACAGTTATGTCTGTTTTATTGCCTACTTTGACAATAACAGCAACATTTTAAACAAATCATCTTCGTGCAGGCCTGCCTGGCTGTTGTGTGTTTTACATTACTCCACTACAGATGTTTTAGCAAGTTCTGAGATCAAATTTGATCTGCAATCTCATAAAATGTGACTGTATTGACCTGGACTACTTTGACCTGAATTTTTACATTTCTTTGCACGTCCCCAAGTAGTGGAATGCAACATCATATCTGGGTCATAAATTTTCAACCAAGTCCAGGGCATGATATCAGTGATTGCTTTGTGGTTAAGGTGTATTGATCATCTGCTGTCTCGGCTTTAACGATTACTATAAAAGGCTCCTGAAAACTACAGAACACTTGGCTTTACACAGTGCAAGTACCATCTGTTTCTTACTGTCTCAAGGAAGGGTGTAAACAGGCAGTGCCTTAGCATACACCTCCCTCTTGTGGTGCCGACGAGCCTCTGTATAACCCTACTAAAGTAACAAAACCATTGCTATCTGTAGTTGTGCTAGCTGATTGACTGATGGTGATAAAAAGAGAATTCATCACTGACAATTGTCATCACCAATTAATTGTTTTAATTCTCTTATTAATAAAATTGGAATAGAAAAATCTTGAGAAAATTCCCTCAAGGCGGTCGTGAGATATCGCATTCAAGAGGCCAAAGACATGTTTTGTGATGTCACAGTGACCTTGACCTTTGACCACCAAAATCTAATCAGTTCATCCTTGAGTTGAAGTAAATGTTTGTGCAAAATTTGAAGAAATTCCCTCGAGGCGTTGCTGAGATATCACGTTCAGGACGGACAATCTGAAAATCTGGAAACCTAATGCCTCCAGTCCTGTCGCTGGTGCAGAGGCATAAAAAACAAATGTTTGCTGGTCACAGTTTATCAAATGTGAATTTTCCTCAGCTTCATACTATTGTAAATTGAATAAGTCTGGTTTTGTTGAACAGTGGTCAGAAAAAAAGACTCTGGTACGAGCAGATTTGATATAATTTTGTGGTTATTGTGTAATGTGATGTTTGTGTCCGTCTGATTGCAGCATGAGACTTCTGACTAAAACTTTGTATTCAACCCAACCACAAGTGGAGATAGAAGCTGGATCCCTTTATGATATTTATCTCATAGATAATTTATGTTACACACCTGTTACAAGATTCATTTATGAGTGGAGTAACATTAGTTTTTACTTTCATTATCAAAAACAGCAGAGTCACTAACACTCATCAAAGTTTTGAGTATCTGCTTTTATCTCATTCTTGTTAATAAATTGCTGGTATTTTTCCCCAAGATGATTGTGCGATAATCTTGAATTACTACACATCTTGGAAAAGTACTTTTTCCATATCTTCATCACTATGCTATGAAGAAAACTGACCCTCAATTGTTCATGGATGCCACCTGCTGACATGATTGGTGCATTGCATATTTCTGAAATGTTCTGCAGTTTTCTAGTCATTTTCTATAAGAGATGTGCTGACTGAAGACAGATAATATGATGTACAATATGTACAATTTTATGCTGATTAAGGTTCAGTGGTGGGCAACAGAAGGACTGAAACGAGTCACAGTAATACATGGGTATATCATGTTGCAAAATCCCCAGAGTAATCTGCGATTCCCTCTGAATTTAGGTCTTATGAAGTGAAAGGTGGAAATCTGATGTGAACAACTCGCACTTGTTTAAAAACTGTAACAGCTTTATTGAGACTTGGGGCCATAAATCTCCATTCACTACAGTATGATTGACTGAGTCTTTACTTCACACCCCTGAAATGACAAAAACATTGGGGCTAACATTGAAAAAAATCTCTTTACCAAAACAAAGAAAATGTATACAAGTTCCTCCAACAAATACATGCAAAAGAAAAATAAAAAAAATATGCTGACTAATCATGGCTGCTATACTAAAAAGGGAAAGAGTGTCAGCTCTTACTTTACTCCTAATAGCAAGTTGAACAATAACTCATGGCCTTTTCAGTTTTCATAAGAAATCATCAGACTAATGATTATAACTTTGTAAATACTTTGATTTGCTTTTGGAGTGTAGGTCCCATACGTACTATCTTCTACCCCTACTACAATTTCAATATATATATTAACTTCATAAACAGGAGACAAGTCAGTGATGGGCCCCAAACTCCTTTCACTTGATCTAAAAGTCTGACAGCAACAGAACTACCAGTCTACTATAAAACATGTTTTAATCTAAACAGATAACAAATGTTAAAACTCCCGTCTTCCTTTTACAATTGAGCTACCATCTCCAGTCCAGTGTTTACAAACTGATTAGATTCTACAGAGGCCTGAACATACAGTAATATAATGTAAGTTATCATCATAGAAAACATCACATGGACCTTGTATTGCCCTGTCCACAAAGTACAATTATCATCTTCACTGAAGATGCTCAAGGTCAAACTGGAGATGAAATGACATGGCACTGTATTCAGATCACATTCAGTCAGGTCAAGACAGAGGTCAGCTCTCAAAATCTAATGGATGAGCAAAATTATACTTTAAACTGTTTGAACTGATCTGGGCCATTTTCACGAGCACTGAACTAAAACTGGTTAGCACCAAGAAAATTTTCCCAGTACCAGCAGTGAAAATGATTTTAGGTCTAGGGCTGGACTTTTGATCCACCTCTGTGGAAACAGCCTCATAAAAATCAGTTCTGATGAGATTTCACAGGGTAATGCACTGTCAGAAACTTTTAGGTAGATCTCAGCATTACAGATAATATGCTGACCCAGCCTCACTTATAAAAATACTTTTGAAAGTCTTTCAAAGTCAGAGGAATCTAACACTGAGTGGAAAGAAGTAAGACTGACAGTGGTTTCTAGGAACAGAGACGGAGACGGTAAACGCACTGAATTTATCTCGAGGGTGTTATTACAGAAGCACTTTAGGAAGCAACTCATTTTTGCCACAAGTAAGTGGTTCCTACATCCAGCTAAACATTACAAAAAAGCTCACTAAATTTGTTCAAAATCTCGGCTATTCCTACAAAACCTGTCAGCCTTCTACAGCCTTTCAACAGTGTAACCTATTAACAGTCAGGACATCACCCCTTTAAAACAAGGAACAGTAGTGAACATGTGTGCCAACAGTCGCAACACAACTTAACTAACACCAAGATTATTTGACATTTCAGGAGAATCTAGTTAACCGTCAGTGTTATTCAACCTGTCTTTAGTGTTGTATACTGTAGTTGTTGTGTTTAGCACACAACACAGTATTGGATAGGTGGGTAATTACTTCCTCGAGGCAGCACGGACCACAAGTCTGCTGTGCTGTTTCACTTATCAGCAGAAGCTGGTCCATGATTAGTAACCTAAGGAAAATAAAATGAGAAGGAAACTAAAAAGCTACACGGTTCTGTGTTTGTGTCCTTATGTGAACTGTCCACATGAAGTAACGGGCAGCTCTGCGGCTCACAGCAGACAGTCCATGCAGCCAAAAATACTTGTAATCTCTTGGCAGTGATACCAAAAAATACCTGCAACCTTTCAGATAAAAGGAGTTTTTCGTGAAATTATTGCCAGAATACCATGATCTGTTGTCCAAGATTGAGAATTTGTCTTCCTCCGTTTGCATGTATCATGAATGTAATAGTAGTTAAAAAAAGTACAAAAACCTACTATCAAGCTCTATGAATGAGCTGGTGAGAGCAAACTAAAGTTTGGTTGTGTTTAAGCTAGGCTGTTTTCAGGTTACAGTACTGTTGAGCTCCAATGTTCGACATTACTGAGCTGCAGACTGCTGTTGTCTGTAGGATCTCTGTGGGGTCCTGGGGGGCGGGGGGTCAGACAGTCAGACGGTTGTTAGAAGGCTGTAGGGGGCTCCAGGAAGCTGGATGGGCAGATGCATCCTGTGAGTACTGGTTTTCCTCTTTGCTCATCCCAACTGTGCACAGACGACGGTGCCTCAGCAGCCGGTCTGTCCGCGAGAAGTTCTGAAGCCAGACAGAGGAAGACATGTTTCAGTCAGAGCGACAAAACAGTGCTGACACTGCTAAAACAGCTGGATTTGTTTATAGCTGGAAGATTCTGGCTAAAATGCAGGAACCCTACAGATGTAGGGCTAGAATAAAAGTCACAAAATGTGCAACTTGAGTTTATTTAAGATGAATTAAAACTCACACCAGTGTCTGCTTAAAAAAAGATGAAACATACAAAAACGTGGATATAATGAAAGAATGAATGACTGACCTGATGGCAGCGATCACACTGGTACGGCTTCTCTCCACTGTGCACCCTCTTGTGTCTGTCCAGGTGGTAACGCTGAATGAACCGCATATCACACGCATCACAAGCAAACGGCTTTTCCCCTGTGAACAATCACACATGGATAATTTATCAGTATTTATCAAGACTTAAAAGCATATTTCACTGGATACAATAATCACTTGCTTGCTCAAAGATCCTTTCAATGTTATTAAATTGATTTGTACATAAAATCCTTTGTTAAAACTTTTGAGAGTCCCATCCACAAAAGCTACACAATTAGGCTACATGATATGGACTAACACAGTAAACAACAAACGGTATAAATACATACAAAGTATTAAAACAAATGTAAAACATTCAATTTTGTACTTAAAGTCACTGAAGGTGGTCTGTTTTTTTTTTTTTTTTTGTAGTTTAATCCACGCAGATGGAGTCTTAGAAGGATGTGTAGGCTCACTGAGGTATAAATAAGTGTTTTCCAATACTGGAGAAAGGCCACACTGAAGTGAATAAGTGAGCTGTGAGTTCTCACCTGTATGTGTAAGTATATGTCGCTTGAGGTGGTAGCTACTCCGGAAAGCTCCATAGCAGTGGTCACAGATGAAGTTCTTCTGGACCTTCAAGGAACTGTCGTCATCCATATCGACTGGTGGAAGTATATGCTACCAACCATGACAACATTTGTTAAATCTGAACTAAACATCAAGAATGGGTCTTTATAAAGTGTAGCTTTGAAACAATCCTTACCTCCACTTTTTCTTTAACTTTGTTGGATGACCCTGACTTTTTGTGCTTTTTCTTGGGTTGCATATTCTGGTTTGCCTGCATGTCCTTTCCATCCATCAGTCTTGATGAGTGATAATCACCGTCTTTTCGGATTAGCTTTTGGAGGAAGGAAAAGATCAGTATTAGCAGGTAAGATGCACTGCACCACAGTTTGCCACCGTGACAGCTATTAAGCAGGAAATGCTAATACAGGCTAGCTTGCAAACAAGCAGTAACATACACACACACACACAATAATAATACTGTCATAAGTCTTCATAGAAGTTACGGTTGTCGACAATCACAATGCATTAATAAACTTAGAATGTCCTCTTGTCTGCTTACAACTGCATTAAAGTTTATAAATGTGCTTCGAAATGCTAAATACGGGAATTAAATAATCGCATATAGTCACATCATATATCTCCATTGCAAAAATGAATGTCCAATGACAAAATTAGAGCTACCTGAAGTTTTAGGTTTTGTTTACTTGGTCTGCATAACATCTGTGTATTAACAACTTAAATTTTGTTGATGAAAGCAAAGTTTAGACATCACAGATTTAGCAGTCTCTCTGAGTAACCCTGTACAGTTTTGTCTCCATGCAACATAAACAAACAAGGTCCTGTGGTAATCATGGAGCTGCGGTCGGCATCTCTCTCACCAGGGGTGGACAGCTCCCGGCTGAAGGATGGCCCATGTGGCTGTTGTGTGGTTGTCCATGATGAACCTGGTGTCCATGGTGGTTGTGCTGCGAGTGGGTTTGCTGGCTCTCAGGACTGGCCCTGTGCCCCTGACCCAAGGGTGACATCATCTTCTTCTGGCCTGGGATGCTGTTGGCTTGCATCAGGGCCATGCTGGACAGCACCGCCTCACAGCCCAGCAACCCAGCCTGGCAACACAAACAACATGTCAGAGCAGAAAGAGGGGGCAATAGGACTCCTCACAGAGACAAGGAGTCAAGGAGGAGGGTGGGGTGGGGTGGGGGTGGGGGTGGTTTGAGAAATGGGACTAACAGAGAAATGTACTGGCATCGGGACACACTAAAACCATGATGGTGATTCTGGAGATGAAGACTTCCACTGACCCATTTCATATGGTCTCGAACAGAGTTGTTGGAATGGTGTGTCATCGCCGTGGTTTGAATGCGTGTGTGTTTAGGGGAACAGAGGGGGCTTCACTCAGGATGAGGGGTGACAGAAGAGACCACACTCACCCAAATCATCAGGGGCCAAAGCCTGAAAGTAGAGGCATGACAACATAATATTTTTACAGTCTGGAATCAGGAGCTGGAAAACCAGACCAGTCTATTTAGATTGAACAAATCGGTATGACAAGAAATTTAGGTCCAGCATTAATATCTGTAGATTATCAGGCAATAAAGCCCCAATGGTTTGGTGCACACCACATGTCACCAGGGGTGAGAGAAAACACAATAGTCAGGTAGAAGAAAAAAAAAAAAAGGGAAATCTAATGGAAAAATCAAAACAATCTTCAAATAGAAAATACATCTGTGCAGGTATGATACATAATTCAAACAAATGCTTCATATATGAAGTGATAATGAAAAGTGTAAAGGACAACTTTCTAAAACTTGTATTGTGAGTTTTTCTTATACTCTTAAATTATTTTGTTCTAGACATCTTTAAAAAATGAAAGAAAGAGATTAAATGAAATACAGGCAACATGTGATATTCTATAAACTGATTGAAAGCTAAAGTTTGTCTTAGTAGAACTGAGAAAAAAGCTTAACTGACTATATGTCTGAGCAAGTCATATTGTCATAGCAACTCATGTTGGTTTATGCCAAAGTCATGTTTCACAGCACAAATCCACTGATGAATCATCAGTGTTTCAGAAAGTTCAGAAACCAGTCAGTCACCATAAAGTGCACTGGATTTCAGCCTGTGGTAGCAACTGCAATGAACATCTGTTCTCTATCACCTGCAACTGTAAAACACTGCCTGATAATGACTGAACACCACAAACTTATTTCCTCACGATTAATAGGTATAGTGTAGAGATATCTAATTAACTACATAAAATACAAAAAGTTATACGTGTTATTTTCATTATTTACTATTCTATTCTAAAGAGGAAGTGTAAATATAGTCGCATTACCTCCAGTCACTGAGCCTTTATGTTCTCTGCTGGGTATGTTTACAGACAGATCAACATTCAGCATACAGGAATGATTTTAGGATTAAAATGTGAAAATAAATATCTGAATACTTGGGTAGTTAACTACCTACTGAAATAGTTATTTGGGTTATAAAGTATATTATAATCCATTTAGAGAAGTGACTAATTATCAGAACAGTGTTTAGATTCCATCAAAATGTACATTTTCAGACAAAACTCCCCTGTACAAAAGTCCTGCTCATCATTGACTGCCTTTACATGTGAGTATCCTGGTTTATGATCAGGTTTTTGGAGTACAGTATCCTGCTGATGTGTTGCACATGTTAACGCCTTATCTCTGCCATGTTTTCAGGTGCATGCTCAACTCAAGTTACATGGTAAAAAAGATTTTTTTTATTTTATTTTTTTTAAAATGGTAAATGGTGTAATGGCAATGAACTTGCTCAAAGGGAAAGTCTGATTTGGCAGTGCGGATCATGAACGTGTTGTTGCATTTGTTTCCAATCATTGATGATCAGATAGAGAAGCCAAATCCAGGAGAATAAGTGAAACATGGCTCACACAGCCAGACACCAATCTGTGTTCATTAGCTGTTGTTGAGGTACCTGGATACAAACTTGTGATCATATAAACAGGAATATGAATAACCAGGTTTCTCTGTGTTCTGTGTGCCTCACATGCTGTGTGCTTTAAGCACATGCGCAAGACGAAAAGGGACAGGCAGCAGTTTGTCCTAAAACCTATAAACAAATAATAAATTACCTTGCAGTAGGACATATTAACACATTACCCCCATGTTCAATGCCCCTAACTGACTGTAAGAAGAGATTATTGCAGTGTAAAGAGTAAACTGTTAAATGATCACCATGAAAGCTGTAAAGGAAAATGTAAAGCACATGTAATGTGCAAAAGTTAGGTACTTTAGATGTTTAGACTCTTATCCATCACACAGCACCATCAGAGAGGCGTCTGATCGGCCCAACATTTATTCTGCAGCAAGATGACGAGCCCCAACATACAGACAGAGTCATAAAGAACCACCTCAACATCATGGAGTCACAGTCTGAAATTACATGAGGAGGCAGAATCCACAGAAGAACTGAGGCAAGTTCTCCAAGATGCTTGAAACAACCCCCCTACCAGGTTCCTTCAAAAACTGCACCAGTGTGCATAGGAGGACTGATGCTGTTTTAAAGTCAAAGTGTGATCACACAAAATATTGATCTCATCTTTTTCTGTTTACTGCACTTTGCACTTTTAGTGGCTAAAACGTCTCCACAGCACTGTATACCTTTACAGGCCATGCATGAAACCTTTAGCAGGAAGAAAAAATGATCATTCATCAATTCAAGGTGAAATGTTTGCTTTCAATCAATTCAGGTATCTTATAGATGAAAATGACTTGGGTTGTGAGTCATCCTCATTTGTAAGCACGTGGTTTTACGCTCCTGCAAAGCAAACATGATTATAAAACAACAAACATGTTTTTAAAAATGAAGCAGTCAGCACAAGTGAGCTGGCTAACGACTGATACCTTGTTGGAAAATTGACCATCCCTGCACAGGTGAGATATATTGGTCAAACGGGACTGTATGTGGAGCACGCTGATGGTCATATATATGGAGTACAGCTGTAGAAGTATGCAGTGTGGCGAGAGTCTCTGCTGAGCGAAACAGAAAAGGCTAACCAGCTAGCCGGCCAGTAGTTGGGTTTTCGTATAACTCTTGTATGACTGCACCCCCACCCCCCGCCCCAGACAACACAACAACAGCCTGGCAGGGCGTGCGGGCTCAGTGCCGACCACAAAACAACACCTCCCTCGCCGGCTGCAGCCGTTAGAAACACACGGGTAGCACATAGTAAAACGCCTAAAGAGCCGCGAGTGAAACGTGTCGGAAACCCGACTGCTTACCTTTCGATTTTGGGAGTTTTGTAGGTTATTATTTCTTGTCGCACTTCCAATTTCTTCTCAGTTTACAAACACTGACAGGAAACGCCACCGGAAGCGCTCCGCGGGGAGAGTCGTGATTGGTCGGACGCCCAGTCACGTGGTAGAAGCGCGGTGACCTACATTTTCGGCCATGATAGTGAGGAAGAGGTGGAGGCTGTGGGGAGGTGGGAGGTCTGTAGAGGTAGTGGCGTAGCACAAAGATCCGGGCCCCGTACTTGTGCCGCGTCAGTGCCCCCTTCCCTTTAAATACATCTGTTACCATTGTTTTCATAGCCAATCCGTTTGGGCCGGATAAAACAAATTCTTGTGAGTTTTTGCCGGAGACAGAGACTCATTTGAAAAGAGAAAAGAGGGTCTTGGTCTGCTTCCAATCAGACTCTAGTGTGATTCATTTGTGGTCTGAAGGCAAACGGACCAACCACAGGATATCTGGATCTAGTGACTTTAGCATGAATTCAAGAGCTAAACTACTCTACTATTTGTGACCTGTTTAGGGATCTGTCTTAACCAATAACCATGGTGACATGATCAGACAGTCAGAAGCAGATAAAACAGATTTGTGTTGTGCCCATATGCTCTGTGTACTTTGTCAGATCATAAAGTACATTAAAAAGACATAGCAATCCCCTGGTAATATCCCTGTAATATTTCTGTAAAATAGGTCATTCATAACGTGATCAGTTTGCAGCTTAATTCTTATGATGCCCATAATCATTTATTTCTTCATGAGGTTTGTGCCACCACAAAACATTTTCACTGAAGCACAGACTGATCTGCTGTCTGTCTGAATTTGATTTTCCCACATGGGTCCTGATAATGCAGGATAATAAAAGCTTGTCAGTATAACTTCTTGTTTACTCCATATGATTGATTTATAAAATAAAAATAAAAAAAACTGTGAGGCTCTACTGTGGTTGCATAGCATAATGAAAGAAAATGTTTTATTTGCTAAATTATGGTCATTCAATTTCCAGCCAGCAAGTGCTAGTACGGTCTGCTGCAACATAGAAATAGCATAAACATTTTTTATATACCTAAAGGCACAAACCATAGATATACAAGACAGATTGCGTACTACTACTACTACTACTACTACTAACACTCTCAGACTGACTGACAGGTGCAAATACAAGAAATAATGTTAAGTTTTGTGTGTTGTGATGCTGCTGATGGTTTATTTCCCTCAGTAAACCTGATCACAACAATGTAGTGAACTACTCATGTTTCAAATGTTATACTTGAGAATCACTATGTATTACATATAGCTTAGGTTAACGTTAAAACATTATCTAAATACATAAATATAATAAGAAAAGTATGAGAAAATGAAACGAGAGAAGGGCAAGGTTTTTGTGAAAGTCATAGAAAGATCTGCACTCAGCATCCTGAATGCACTTGCCTACTCTATACTGCCTCCCTGAGGATAAAAGCTCAAGGTGCAAGTGCAAAGGATGGGAAGGCTCAAAGCATCTGGGGAGCTTTACTTTTATATTTCATAATATTGTACAACAAAACAGACTACTTGGTATTATTGTTGCCAGTCCCCCTTTAATGTAAACTGCTGAAAATGACTCCCTGTCTTGTCCTATAAAATGGTTCAAAAACAGTCTCTGGTAAACTGATTTCAGAACAGTCTTTAAAATAAAGGCCACAGACATTTATGATACTTATAAATTATGACACTCTTTTTTATTCTTTTATTATTCATATTTTGGCTTATGGTTTTTAAAAACTTAAAGTCAACTATCTCTTTCATGACAGCTGTCTGAAATGAGCAAATCACATCTATGAAACGGTACAGCCACTTTGTGTCTTATCATTACAATGGCAGGTTTTAAGCGCAACCTCATGGACGCTTGAGTTGTATTTTTGGTTCACAAATCGTTTCCCAGTCTTTCAATTTCATTGAGAAAGAAGTCCAAGTCTCTCTGCGAAACGAGGGGGGAGAACACAATCACACGGAAAAAGTTGACTCTGTTCCCCAGAGGTTGGTAGCCGACCATCATCGTGCCTTGTTTCATCATGCGTTCCTTAATGACTGGAGCAACCTTTTAATTAAAAAAAGCAGAAGAAGGAAAACACACACACAATGTTAACTTGATGAATAAGCCACAGTGAATATCTTTAAGACAAAAAAACATGGAGGCTACCAGCATATAACACTTTAGTGTCTTCAGTCTTTATGTTCTACTGATGTAATACAGAAACGTACTTTTGCCAGCCTGTCCTGGTAATCTGCTTTCCCTTCCTTCCCCCTCAGACTTGGCGGTATATACCAGAAGCATACATTCACAAACTCTGGCTGCCCATGGAAACAAATACAGACACGTATGAGACAATTTTTGCAAAGAAAAAAACAACTCATCTTTCTCAGTGGCCTTGAGATATTTACTTACCTCACCCAAAAGATGGAACCCTTCTCTTTTCTTCATCTGCTCCACCAGATACCTGCAGGAGCAAGTTTTTACTTTGTGCTAGTTTTCGACTATATTTTAAAAAGTTTACGATGTTGGTGTTATTTGTGCTATTTGTCCAACAAAATGGAGACTGGTGGTGGTAAGTGAAGACCAGCTGAATGAGGGGGTTACATGTCAAAGAGTCACATACTCGTATCTTAACCTGCTGTACAAGATCAACCCAAATATTCCTTCTTCATCTACACAGCCAACTTACTGATGAGACATGAGGAAAGTGAAATAGCAAAACAGCAGTGAGATCATTTCATCAGCTATCCTGCTGGAGGGAATATGGTGAAATTACTGTTGGTCATGCTCATGTCTTCTGGACTTGTCTCTCCGTCCAGTCTTTCTGGAAGGATGAAGCAACGATCATCTCAAAAACCATCCCTCTATCTCGGACATATTCTTGATGGACTAAGCAAAGGATGATACCCATCTCCTAAAGATTATGTTGGCAGCAAGCAAAAAATCTATTAAAAGAATACTGAGTTTATTTAGCCAATGAGACCGATCCTTTATGAGTATTGTATGTAACATCATATCTCTTTTTAAATTAAATTTGCTACAGCTGCATGCTTTAATTACCTTACATGGATAAAAGCTTTGTCTACACGCTCTTCCAAACCATCAGAGCCAACAGCTTTCCACATCAACCACAACTTCAGACAGTCCACTTTGCGGCTGCACTGCACAGACTTATCCCCGACGTCCAGATTGACATCGTAGAATTTGTCTTGCTGGAAGAGGTAGGTGGCGTTGGCGCTGTGGCACTGCTTCAACAAGTTCTGAGAAAAAGCAGATCAGTGGCTGTCAGTACAAAACCATTAAGACATCATGATGTGGTAATTCTGTAGCTTCAAACTGTGAAGCCAAACCGTAGTATCCTTTAGCAGCAAGGCAGAACACTGCAGGCCAGCCACCAGCATCTTGTGTGGATTCCAGGCTACTGAATTTGCTCTTGTTACAAACACACGCACACGCACGCACGCACGCGCACGCACACACACACACACACACACAAGGAACAATAAACAATCCTCTCTATATGACCATATTTTGTAGCCTTCCTCATGTTGTAAAATGCATCTTCCTGGCCTGTATATTAAATACCTGTCAACCCCTTTCATCAGATGTCTGTGTTGCTTGGAAAAGAGCACACTCCCTCCCCAGGCAGCCTGAAACAAGTGATAAAACAGACACACTTCTGCGTGTACTTAAATTTTTAATGAATATAACACAAGCTAACACAAAACTAAGGCTTGTCAACAGTCATGGATTTTCCTTCCACCGGAGGACTCACGTCTACGTGCATCCAGAGCTCGTGTTTCTCACAGACATCAGCTATGCGGTCCAGCGGGTCAAAGGCACCCTGAACCGTGGTCCCTGATGTGCAGCTTACAAGGAATGGCACTGAACCCTGGTCGAAACAGACTGTAGGTGAGTACGGTTACCTTGCACTCTGTGATGTCTGGTGTGAGGGACGAACAAAATGCATGGAACAAAATGTTTAACGGTTGGTTGGTGAACCACAACATGTCATATCTGACACTTACTCACCTGAGATTTTGCCAGTTTTATCTTTTCATCCAGGTCATCTGGCCTCATACGCCCTCTGCAGAAAAGAAAAGAGATATCAGCAAGGTATCACTGTGATTCACATGTTCCCTGAGAACCAAACAATAATTATTTTCATTATCAATCAATTTATAGATAACAATAGTTCAAAATAAAATGGTGGAATGCCATCCTAACGTATTCCCATAGCCCAAGGTTATGTTACATTGTTATGTTATTACAATGACACAAAATGTAACGTGAAAAGATGTAAATCCTCACATTTCTGGAGTCAAATGGAAAAATTACTTAAATAATTAACTCATGAAAGTTTTTACAATGAAAAATACATTACCCATCATCCACTTTCACCAAAATAACGTTGTCCGTCCCAATACCCAGATATGCGGCCCCTTTCTTCACGGAGTAATGGCTCTGGGAAAAACATGAGGAATGCTCCTTTAAATCACATGTATGTAGAGACACGAGAGCTCCAGCATCAAAACCTTTTACAGAGCTTTATTCTCCGTCTATGACCTCAATCCCTCAGATGTGCAGTGTGAGACAGCCATTCCTGACCTCTGGAGATGTAAAGATGGTTAGTCGTGGGAGACCCCACAGCCCCTGGCTTTTGACGTCCGGGAATAGTCGGTAGCGTGCAAGGTTCATGGCATACATGTTAGAGGTAGACCC